ATACTATTGATTTTTTTTTTTTTTTTTTTTAGACAGAGTCTCACTATGTCACCTTTGGTAGAGTGCTGTGGTGTCACAGCTAACAGCACCTCAAACCCTTGGGCTTAAACAATTCTCTTGCCTCAACCTCCCAAGTAGCTCAGACTATAGGTGCCTGCCACAACACCTGGCTATTTTTTTGTTGTAGTTGTCATTGCTGTTTGGCAGGCCCAGGCTGGGGTTGATCCCGCCAGCTCTGGTGTTTGTGTCCTGTGCCCCCGCTGCTGAGCTACAGGTGCCAAGCATATTCCATCGATTTTTAATGTACATGTCTCTGAAGGGTGCTGGAGTGTCTCAGTGTCTTTGAAGATTTTTATAATATCTATGCCTCTTTGATAGATAACTCTTTGAAAGGAACTGAGTACAAAATCCTTTTTAAGAACATGCCCTAATGACTAGCATTCTTTTCTAGTTCTTACTCATCATATGAGTATCTATCTTTTTTTTTTTTTTTAAGAGACAGAGTCTCACTTTGTTACCCTCAATAGAGTACTGTGGCATCACAGCTCACAGCAACTTACCAAGTAGCTGGGACTACAAGCGCCTGCCATAATACCTGGCTATTTTTTTGTTGCAGTTTGGCCGGGGCCGGGTTCAAACCCCTACTCACTAAGCCATAGGTGCTGCCCAAGCACCTATCTTTTATAAATACACTTGGCCCGTGATATCTGTGGGTTCTGCATCCATGGATTAAGCTAAATTCATAGATAAAAAATACTTGTGTGGGAGGAAATATATAGCCAAAAATAATGCAAATTATTTTTATATAAGAGCAATGTACATAATTTTGTAGTGTGTTAGGTGTTAGAAGTAATGTAGAGATGATTTAAAGAATATGGAGGATGTGCATAGGTTATATGCAAATCTATTTCATTTTATATCAAGAACTTGAGCACCAGATGTTAATATTCATGGAGTACGAGTGGGGAGATGTTCTGGAACCAGTCCTCCCTGGATTCTGAGGGATGACTTTATATGTAAATTGAATGCT